CCCGCGCCGCCCGGCCGGCGCGTCATGCGATCGGTGGGGATGGTAGGCCGTCCTGCCGGCAGCAGTACATGAGCAGTAGGCTGGTCGGACGCTTGTATTCGCCTATCTTTAAACGTTAATATCTCGTTAAATATTGCGTCAACTGCAAAATGGTACAAAACTGTATTGTTCCCCTTGATCCAATCTACGTCCCCATTGTGTTTCGATCCGTTTTTTTGAGACACCCTGTATATATGTCTGTTCACTCTAATAATCATTGTTGACGCTTAATAATAACATCTTAATGACGTCCTCTCTCTCTCTCTCTCTCTCTCTCTCTCTCTCTCTCTCTCTCTCTCTAATTTCGGTATATTATAATATAAAAGCAAAATTGAATTACAAAAATTAAATCTTAATAAAAAATGTTTTTATAATACCTTGTAGGACAATAGAGTGAAAACCTTTTCGATTGTAGAAATCATTAGGATTGTCTATAGGAGCTTTGCATGGTATATGACATCCATCAATAATTCCTACTACACCTGGGATACCATGAGAACGTCTCTTAAATACCTGTGATAATTTTAAATAATTCAATATACATATATAAAACAATTTAATATGTATGTGTACAAACAACTTACCATTGAAATTATCTCGCACATTCCTGCATCCGGCCATCTCACATAATTTGGTAATAAGTCAACTAATATATTTGTAATTTCTTTTACTATACCGTGAGCAGTACTTTTTGCCAAATTAAATCGATCTCCAGCAGACAGATAACTTTCTTGCTTTGCCAGAATCCATATAGTAAACATTACTTTTTTTCTTAAATCTACAGGATTATTATGATTTGAGTGCATTGCATGTCCAATTATGTGTACTAAATTCTATTCAAAATGAGCAAAGCAAAAATTAGTATATCATTAACTTTTTAATAAATATATGATAATTGATACAGTATAATATTTGAATTTTTGTATACCTCAAATGTGACTCTAGACATTCTAAAATGTTCTTTAAATACATAATCGTTGTACCGTGGTACAATTACTTCATAATAATGTTCATTCTTTGATCGCATTCTACGTTCATTTTGTAACAAATTATTTCGCAATGGTTCGTCCAATTCCTTTGCTATGAAGTTTATGATATTTCTCTGTAATTCTATACCTCTCACATCATCCGCATCGTCGGCAGCAATTAATATCAAATGTAATAAATCCATGTTCACACCGAAAGAACAATACAAACAACGAAAATGACAAATTAACCTAAATAAACAGTCATACCACGGTAAATAGATGATATAAGTCACATGACTTAAGAGAATAGAATCGTTCAGCAATTGGTAACCGCTCACTCAACGGTTGTCGCAACATGTTGGAAACAAGTTGAGGTTGCTGAACGTAGCCATTGGTGATTCTTTTTAAATGTTTGCACGGTAATTATAGAGGAAACGGCTGACCTCACCGATTTTAATGAAATTAGGCTCATTCGATGCGTTTTTGCATGAAATGAATGAATCTGACAGAAATAAGCGTCGCTCTGCCCCGCGAACCGAGATATTTAGCGTTAAAGTTCACGACCATTCAGGTTAGGAAATCTGTCATACCGACTCGATATAAGCGCTATGAGTATGCCTTTTTCATGCTCTGTGACTTAATGCGCATGCGTTTAGCGATTCTTGGGTCTAATAGTGCACGAAATTTAAAATCAAATTAAAAAATGAATTAGTTACTCGTGCAATGTTTCTATTATACATAGTTGTATTCCAAATAAATCATAACATATGTGGACAGTGGAGTGTGTAGACAGTAATGCTTGGGTTCGGGGCGGCTACGCCGCCCGGAACCAAAATAAATTAACATATCCTACCCGCTTGGGGCCTAACTGCGTGGAAGTTACAGCTGAGACAGTGTCCGCTTGGAATATTCTTAACCCATGAAGACAGTGGGGTGTGAGAACAGTCTTTTTAGAGGCAGTAAAAACCCATTTGGAATATTCACGCCCCGAATTCCAAATTTTTACTACGGGGCGTAACCGCCCCGAACCCAAGCATTACTGTCTACACACTCCACTGTCCACATATGTTATGATTTATTTGGAATACAACTATGTATAATAGAAACATTGCACGAGTAACTAATTCATTTTTTAATTTGATTTTAAATTTCGTGCACTATTGGACCCAAGAATCGCTAAACGCATGCGCATTAAGTCACAGAGCATGAAAAAGGCATACTCATAGCGCTTATATCGAGTCGGTATGACAGATTTCCTAACCTGAACGGTCGTGAACTTTAACGCTAAATATCTCGGTTCGCGGGGCAGAGCGACGCTTATTTCTGCCAGATTCGTTCGTTTCATGCAAAAACGCATCGAATGAGCCTAATTTCATTAAAATCGGTGAGGTCGGCCGTCTCCTCCATAATTACCGTTTTTCACCATTTCTCTTGAAGATAACACATGTTCATTTTTAAAATTTCCGCCTAAAAATTACAAACAACTTCGGCGTGATCGCAACGGTGGTTGTGATAACGTATTCTTACATGTGGGGTAATATTTCAATTTAAATGTTATTTTATTCTACATTTATTAGAGAGAAGACAAACAAGTTGGCCCAAAGATATATTAAATAAATGTTTATTTATACTCTCGATCATTGCTTGGGAGAAGAGCACTCTCGATATTTAGTAAACAAAACGAAATAATTGCTAGATATAATATTATATTGTATAGTAATTATATATGTTTATTTATTACTGTACAATAGTACACGCTATGTTTGCGAATATTAAAAACGATAAAAAAAATAACATATTTACAGCATGTATACATCAATAAAAAATTAATTAGTACATTATGTGCGTGCGTGTGTGCGCGCGCGCGCGCGTATATTACAAAATGAGAAGATATCTTCCCTTAGGGTTATAAGACACTTGTATGTGTGTTCTGTCTCTATACTAAATTATTAAATATATAAAAATATTGAGACAAAAGTTTTGTAAAAATTAATTATTTTAAGTATTTAAATACCAAACAATTTTCAATCATATTATTTTTTATAACATTCCCATGTAGATTGACTCATTATATATAGTCTCATTATATAGTCTACTATGTATTATACGTAATTATTTAGATCAATCTTTGAAAATGAATTCGAGACATATAAAAGCAAAACTTATATTGTCCATTTTGCAAGATTTTTAACAATATTAAAAAAACATCTCGTATATGTACAGAACATGAATAAATTATATCTTCCTTCTCGTTTTAGAATTAGAAAAGTAACTTTAACATGTTTAATTAAAATTAAAAATAAACATTTAAATAACTAAATACGCTAAAGTTAATCAGTTTTTATTATGTGTAATTCTTGTTTAGAAATAATGCAGTTTGCAAAGTGTAAAATAAAATTACACAATTTAATATTTCGTCAGAGAGAAAGAGAAAATGTGGTTTTGCTTCTATATCTCCATTTCTGAAAAAATTCTTATAAATTCTGAATCTAGAATTCTAAAAACAATGTTGAATTTGTCATCAATACCTTCCTTGTTAAACTTTCGTCGTTGCTAGGAGTTTAATATAATGAGCTTTGTGAGTAATTTCAAACTCCTGGGCCGGCAAAAAGCATTGTGCCTGTATCCTTGGATGTCGGAGACGTCTTACAAGATTTCTGCCGAGTATGGCAAGAAGAACAAGGAGAACACCGGTAGCAGCAATCACGGCCATTATGATAAATATCTCAATGTTCCGCCTGCTGTAACTCTGTTCGACTAATTCAACGCAACGGAATCTCTCGCGATCATCTACCAAGTTACCAGACATCACAATAATATTGGTGAGCTCATCCAAACTAGCGCATACCCTGTAATAACCCGACAATGACACTTCCACATCGATGACGGATACGGAGCTACAATTGAGTCTCTGTCGATGGACTACGGAGATCTCGTTGAATACGAAGATTGATAATTGGCAGGTTGACGATGAATCAATAATCCTGTCTTTTGTTTTGGAAAGAATTACGTCGATATGCAAATAGCTTTTATCATCAGATACATTTACGTGAACACCAGTGATCCGTGAATAGGAATCAAGAGATATTTGCGTAGACGTTGGAGAACGAGAATTCTCTTCTTTTGCGTACTGATCTTCTGTCGCTATTCGCTGCTGAGTCGTTTCTAAAACGATAACGTCGCTACAACCTAGACCAAGAGATACATCATCATAAACGTTGGGTATCAATAAAACTACACAATAACGATATTTGTGATGCAATTGTAGATGCAGAGAGGCCGGTATGGTGACCGGTAGGATGCAGGGATCTCGCATCATTCGGGAATCACAATGTAGCGGGCTGGACTCTGTTTGAATCTCGCTATCATCAATTGTTTCGTAAACGATAAGCGAATCGCAAGTGTAACGTTCAGCGCACTGTTCCACATGCCACAATAAATTGATACCGGTTGATTGATCGTAGTGAAATTCTTTGAGACTTAGTTGTGTACCTGCCGGATGTTCTCGGGTCATCATGGGTGGTGTGGGCTCACCGCAAAGTAGACTGCCCGGCGGTACTTGCATTAGGATACCGTTTTCCAAGGCAGGTGGTGTTGCGCATACTGCCGATGACTTGTCCTCTTCTGTTAGGCTGGAGTTTGTCAGCCAATTAGCTAACTCCAGCAAGGTACAATCGCAATTTAATGGATTGTCAGCGAGAGAGAGCCTTTTGAGATGCAGCTTTGATGTTAACACATCGTTAGCTACAATTGTGATGTCATTGTCATCTAATCGTAGATCCTGTAAATTTTTCAATGGTACCACCAGATCGGCCGTCAACGCACGCAAAAAATTGTGCGTCAAATCTAAATAAATTAATTTTTCTAAATGAGCCAAGGAAGCACTAGACACGGCGACGATACGGTTGTTTGCCAGGTCCAGTCGTGTTAAAGTCGATAGATACTTAAACGAATGATCCTCTAACACATCAATCTGCAAATCAACATTTAATAATTTAAATAAAATAATTTTGAAATAATTAATCTTTTTATATTATTTTAAACGAGATCTCTCTGACTTATAAACTTAACTTTTAAACGAATATACTCACTTGATTGTGACTCAAACTGAGATAAGTAAGATTTCTGAGCCCCATGAGAGCTCCTTGTTGGACATTAACGAGACTGTTTTCTGAGACTGTAAGGAAATGTAGTTTGGGCATTTGTGGCAATAGATTGGGACCCATCGGACCCAGCAATAAATTGTTCGAAAGATCTAGCTCTTCCAAGCGTTTCAGACCTCTCAATGCAGATAAGGCGGAGACACTCAGGCGATTTCCTCGCATTCTTAGCGAACGTAATGCCGGCAATGTTAAAAAAACTTGCGGCGACAATTGTGACAGCAGATTGTCACATAAGTCTAGATAAGTCAAATTTGACAATCCCTGAAACAGAATATTTTATTACTCTTTATAATCAATCTTCTCAAAACTATTTTTCATAAATAGTTCTCTTTCTTACAAAAAGAATTCATATTTATACAATACTTTTATTTCTCGTAATTAATTATACCTTGAATGAATCCGCTTCCAATGTCTTTAATTTGTTATGAGATAGATCCAATCGGTCCAGACCAACTAGATGTGATAGTGCGATTGTGGGAACTGAAGCTAAGAGATTGCTGGGCAGTCCTAGCGCTTGTAATGGTCGCGCCAGAGCTGTAAATGCGTTATCATGAACGTATCGCAACTCTCCAGTGGAAACAACTAATCCATGAAGTGCGACATCTTCGAGGAAATGTGCCGGCAACTCAGAAATTCCTGTCACAGTTACATCCAGCAATGATATTGTGTCCGGTTGACTATGTTTCAAATGCTCGCTGATAGTCTAAGAGGAGCAATAAGGACATAAAAATAATTTTATTATTCTTTCTATCGTTTACTTCAAGATTTGCAAATTGCTATCACTACATCTTTTGATTTTGTATTTTTTCTATAGATTTATTTAAAAAGTATTTATAGATGCAATACTAATAAACATAATTGATAGCAAGGCTCTCATTGTGTCAATATAAAACAACAGATGCTATCGAGTAATATGAAATAAGAGAGATCAAGCCATCGAGAAAAGGAAAGGAATAAAAAGAGAAGGCACAATGGATTTTTGAATAATAATATTGTATACAACTTGTGTGTGTGTATTTCATTGGGAGTCTATACAGTATAGACTATACTACCTACACTCTTCTTGACCGTTATTTAAAAAGTAAATATATAAATCGATCTTGATTGTGTAGTGAAGTGCGTATACATATTAGAGGTTGAATTTACGACTCATCCTTTTTTATTTTTTAAATTTAATTTTTCCCGAAGAAAATTTATAAGTCTTAACAATTATTTTGGAATTAATTAATTTCGCTAGTTAGGATAAATTGTATCTATTATATATATATATATATGTATATTGATGTATGATGACCTGTTGTCAAAATTCATTACCTGCAGTGCCGTTCTATCACCGGCACATCTAAGCGTATGTGGAAAGTCACAAGAACACTCTACGCCTGCTTTTGTGATATTCGGGCATTCCCACACAGTGTCAGAGAAAGATGACGGCGATGGCGACGATGACGGCGGCGGTGATGGTGATGCGTGGGATAGATTTTTCGGGATGCCATTGTCTTGCGTTGTCATAGTCGCCGATGGCAACAATGCATTTTCTTCGGTGGTCGTTGTCCTTATGAATGCAGCCGTCGATGTTGCCATCAATGTAATCGACTCCATTGTCGTTGTGACATTGTCCTCTATTGCGTCGAAACATGACGCTATCATTATCAATGTTAAGACGAGTAGGTCTCGAAATAATTTCGGCATTCTGAAAAGAGATGCTTGATAGATATATTGCGTTTATGATTACTTATTTTATCATATAGGAAAATATTTCTTTTTCTGATAATAAGTAATACTGAAAAATAAAATAATTTGATTTTGTTTTTATATAGTTAATGTACGCAAATTCATTCTTAAAACGTCGGTCACTAACCGCGGTTTAGAAATGACAAGTTCCAAATTTTGCGAGAATAAATAATAAAATTCTACAATATCAATGAAAAGTATATTTAAATTCAATGTCTCACGTTTATTACAACGAGTTATGGCTTATCACAAGAAGCGACCTGGAAAAGCTGTTAGAACTCGAAAGAAAATTGCAAAAAAGCGCACCATTAAAAAAAAGAGCTGCTTTAAATTCAGCGTTACCTATATATCTGAGGCATGTGCTCAAATTAATTTTGTGAAAACACCTCGTGTATGCGTATATATAATAAAAAATTTACTTTATTCATTTAACTATGATATAAATAATACACGATACGACTAATCCTTTCTAATGAAATTATTAATCATTTAAATTAATATTTGTATAGATATCGTAATATTGTAAGAAGACTCCTTATATGTTACGATCAAATGATCCAGACACAGAAACGGGAATTAATTAAGAAGATGTTAGATTGTGCCATCGGGCGTATGCTAGAATACAAAAAGGAAATTGTGGCGCTGGATTATACAGATTATCAGTACATTTTTCATTGCTTATTTATCTGCTAATTTATGTGCTCTAATTTATAAAGAAATATTGTCTGCATAGATGGCCTGACGATATTTTGAATCAAATGAAATTCACGCCAGATGACATCGAGCTATTTGCATCAGTGTCTGGCCGAGAACATGTAGAGGAACGCAGAAAGTTTATTCAAGAGTTGGTGGAGAGTGCTCACAAAGGTTTATAATATCGATTCATTGTTTTTTTATTGATAATAAAATTATATTAAAATGTTGTAAATACAACAATTTATGTTTAAAAATTTAAAAGTTTAAAAATACATTTTTGAAATTTAACTATCTAGTACCACAGACGAGAGAACGCAGTCTTTCACAGATACAGATTGAGAGTACGTCCGAGGTGGAAGATGAGACGTTGAAGACACGCACTGCTCGACGAAGAATGCGCATCGCACCACCATCGAAAGTAGAGTTAATCCACGAATCGCCATTGGAAAAAGCCGCCCGAGAAGCGAAGCTTGCTGCTGAAAAAACTATGCGTAACGCAATGTTATTGATACAGAGTCATGAGAGAGCTAGAAAGGGACGCTCCTACGGTGTAGATGGTATACTCGCAAAAAAAAAAATAAATAATTTCATTGCAATAAAATTTTTCAAATGGGACATTCTCGTATGAAAGAAAATATTATTGAATATGATATATCTATTAACATTTATTATTACGTTTGCCTATTAATTATTGATGTTAATTTCTCAGTGAAACGTATATACGATTACAACAAAAAAGTGAGATCCGGAGAGATAATACCGAAAAAAATAGATCGCGTCAGATATATCAAGTCAGCAGTGACGATACAACGTGCATGGCGGCGTTATGCCGCTAGAAAAGCTATGAAAAAACGAATTGCACGTCTCGAAGAAGCTTTGGATATGATGATATCAAGCTGGCGATGCAACAAGACAATCGCGAAGGACGATGACAACTTTCAGCGACGACGTGCTCTGATGCCAGTATTCGATGCACGCACGAAGAAGGCAATCAGTGACGAACGTATAAAGGTAATTTTTCAAACAGAATTCTTGATTTACATTCCATTATTGTGAACGAAAAAAGATACAAGAGGAAGATAATAAGTTAAAAAACAAAAAAATAATAACAGTATAAGATTAAAAAACAATTAATTCTCAAAAGCTCCTGAAAATCAGAGGTCCGGGTTTAATGGAGGACATCACTGACGAAATTCATGAGTGGTTCGTCGTTTGGTATAACGCATTGGGACATTACGACGTGTTTCCAGCTGTGGATTTGGGTGGCAGCGTACTGATCGTGACTGGGCAGACCTTGACACCGCAGGAATATTTAATGGAAAAATTAGAAAAAGAGAAAAAAGCTAAGGAAGGAAGGGCTGAGAGAATGGGACCAGTTCTCAAAGCTGAACCTATCAAGAGCGAAGTTCCTGGTTGGAAAATGCTGCAAACAGATACTTTGTCCTGCTTGAAGGAAACAAACAGCGATTTCATTCGAAATTGGAGCTTTCGCGACGAAAAATACTTGGAACAAGAATATTTGGATCTAATCACTGAGAAACTTTGTTATGAGTTGCAGCTCGAAATGAGGGAGATAGTAGATGAATTGATGAGGGCTGAGCTAGATTTACTAAACAAGGCATTGCTAAAGGATCATGAACATGATGAGGAGAAATTCACAATTCCAACAATAATAAATAATAAAAGTGATCGATACAACTTAATAATTAAAAATTTTGCAATCATTATCTAAACAAAAATTTGAATTTTGATTATTATGATACAGAAAGAGTAGATATTGACAAAACTGGAACGAAGAAGAAGAAAGATATTTTGGAAGATATAGCCATTGAGGATCTCTTTAGTGAGCTTCTACAAGCTAAAATTATTAGAAACTATCAAACTATGTTTTTACGCGATTGGTTTGGTGATCTGTCCTATCAAAATTACGAGGCACGTCGCGACCTCCGGGATTACAATCATCGACTCGGAGAAGTAAAGCAGCTCGTCTTAGAGTACTGCGTATTACCTTTAATTTCCAAGGAGACACATCAACTTGCACCGCTCGTGCGTTCTGTGTGCATCTATGGATTACCAGGAGCCGGAAAGACTTCGCTGGCGAATGCCATCTGCTCAGAGGTGATCTTTGTCTCGACTATATGTATCTTCCCATGTTAACCATTATGTCAAAAGATATTCAAAATATGTTATATACAGTACGAGATACAATAGTTTTTCAATGGTTTGTAATATTACGATAATACCATAAATTAAAATAGACTGTATTAATATTCTTCCCGTCTATATATTTGTGATCTCTTTGAACTTTTCTAGATTGGGGCGTTACTTTTCGACGTATCAGCGCCTGTTTTAGTTAATAAATATATAGGCAAGGAAAAACAACTCATCAATATAATCTCTAAAGTGGCCCGTTTTTACGCACCTTCCATCATATTTCTCGACGCTGGCGAAAAACCCTGGCTGAAAAAAGTTCCACCAGAGGAAAAGTATCTTCAACCCAAGCGATTCGTCAACTATTTTATTAAACTGATGAAAGACATTAAGCCAGGCGACCAGGTAAAGCTACAAAGGAATTGGCAAATAATTTTCTTTCACTCTCTTAGTAATTATTTTTATTCTGTCGTGTGATTTATTTTTTATTAATTATCTGCAATAATGCAATTGCTTTGTCAATATTGTACTCTTAGCTTGCGCTTTGCGCTATAATGTTTAAAGATCTTTATAGACATTAGAAATATATATATCGTGAGAACACGGAGTGACACTCCTAAATTGGAGGAGTGTATCAAAACATATACGCAATCGAGTAACGCCCACTTTGTAAAATTCTTGTTATTCCTGTTTGAGATCTTTCTTCAATATGAATGAATCGCCACCACCTCAGACGAGTCCACATATACTGAACTCTTTCTTTCTCTTTCTCCTGCGCCCGCGCCGTTCAAATCTTTCATCTCGATCGCTCGAGGTTGCTCATCAATGAAACACCTCCTACCTGTATATATGGTTGCCGTATGAGGACGTAGGTGGCGGCGAGCTAACGTAGGATTTAGAGTGTTAAAAATTCCGGATAGATCCTGTTACTCACTGGCGTGATATTATAGAAGGCAGATACTTGAAAAGTAGATATTTTATTCCGACTTTCAATTTGTGTAGGATCGAGTTAAAATATAAAAATTATGAGATTTATTAAAACATATATATTATACACTGAAAGAATATCCAGCATACATAAATAAAATCTGATTTTCATCATGTTATCTATTAATATGACAAATTCATTTCCAACAGATATTATTTCTCTCGCTGTCTGAAGAACCTCATAAGGCGACAACCGCTTTCATTAAGTTCCACGATAAATTTATAAGGGTACCCACTACCGACTACAACACACTTTACATGTACTATAAGAATCTACTAATGAAATATCACGGCGTTGATCGCGATATCGATGTCTCTTGTTTGGCCAAAATATCCGTTGGAGTTCCTCTGGATTTTATTCGGCAAGTCGTGGAGAAGGTGCTGACGCTACGTCGAAGAATTACTCTTAAATCCAATCCATTAAATCCGATGGAAATTATGAATGAGATATTGATGTATCAACATCCTTCGACGGAGATGGTGGAGAATCTTGATAAATTTGAAAGAAGCACCCCTCTTGGCAGAAAAAGAGCCAGTGTTTCGTAAAAAGAAAATTCGCGAAAAGATGAGTTTGTTTTTCTTTTTCGGGCATAAATGTATGTATCGCAGAAGTTTCGTTCTTGTACAAAAAAATGCATTTATATTGCAAATATTTGTATTCTTGCATTGCGTCTAACAGCCCATAAGGATATAAAAAAATATAAAAAGTATGTTTATTTTATAGAAAGAAAAGATATTCTTGTATGCACGCAGGAAACACCGATGTATATCCTACGACTACATTATAGTTAAAGAACGCTAAAGAGAGAGTACGTACCTCTAATATGTAATATGTCAGTCTCCTCGAGCGTGTTGCCAACCCTTGCACCCTCCCACACCTGACCTCGGTCTTAAAGCGGAGGAGGAACCCAGTAGCACCCACGCCGGTCAAGTATTTGCGGCGAGTGCATCGTGCTATATTAATAACGAATAATCTTCAAGGATCCTTAGACGTTTTTTGTTACCATATCCCTTCTTCAAGAGTGCGAGTTCTTCCTTATGTCCTAGCTGTCACGTTTGGCAGTATTTCGACTCTTCAGTACTTTATCCCTCGCGATATAGCGCCGCATAATTGTTGCACATCAAGTCTTGCCGAGGAATCTCCTCTTATAGCACAAAATTGACGATCTCAACATTCAACGATGATGGTTGAAATGCGTTCACCAGGATATACACTATCACACATATACATAACGCATAATTGGTCGGACGTTTTGTCGAATCATATGGAAAATTGGTATCGCATGTTCGAAGGAAACGCGCGGTGACATGAACGCGCGAACAATAATAGTAGGATGATGGTACGATATGTGTGCTTCGAAGCACTATGCGTCAAGAGCATGCTCGGCAACCGCTTCGAGAGACGAGAAACCGTCGCGTTGCCTCCACCGTCCACACGGTGGGGACTCCCCCGGTCCATGTCGGTCCGTTCGTCTCTGTGTCTCTTGGTTTCCACATAGCATAGCCATGTATGGAACACAGGACGACGTTCTCTCTCCCGGCTCTTACGCCCACTTGCCATAGTCGCGCTTTCCGTACTGACTCCACCGGAGCTGGAGCAGGTATCGTCATGATTGACGACAACGAAAAGAACGAGAACGACAACGTCGACGATATCGTGTGAATCATTGAAGAGTGAATAGAAAAAGCGAATAGATGATTCGACGCGGTTTTTCTAATGTAAAAATTTTGAAAATCTTGATCTTTGGAATATCAAAAACTCTAGCTCACATTCTAAGAACATTGAAAAACCAATTGATTTATTAAATAAGGAGAAAATTTAAAAAATCCTAATCTTTTTAATTCATCTAATAAGGAAACAACTTTGTGTGGGTCGTATTTTTCCACTTCCACGAAGTGACAAGTCTTTCTCTTTAATTATTAATGCATGCACTACATAAAAAGTAGCACCAAATGATCTTTGCATGTGTTGTTTTCGTATGCATGAAAACTCGAAAGAAGATGAAGCAGAAGCCGACAAGAGAGAAAAAAAGAGAGAGTAGGTTGAATAGTAGGGGACTCCGAAGGTCTTCAGGATCCTCACGAAATGCCTTTTGATACTGGAAATCTGTTTGCCATCGTCGTTACGAAATCACGTAAAACCGGGCCTCTACGCCCACGCTGCAACAAGAGACTGGTACAGTCGCGCGATAAAAGAAAGTCCAACTTCTTTAACAAGCTCGAGATGTTTATAATACACCAGAAATCGAATATCGCATTTAAAAGTTAGCGTGAAAATTATTTATTGCGAAATTAATCTTGTAATTTTATGATAAGAATTTTCTTAATTGACTCTCTTATAATGAAAATGGCGAAAGTTCCTTACATAACTCATGACAGCACAACCAACAGTGATTAAATTTGATTGCATACAAACGTCGAAAAAAAAAAACGATTCTCATATAAGAATTTAATCTAGTAGATATTTTTAAAAATTGATATCCAATTCAGATCACATTTTATACCATTATTATAAATTAGTATTACTTTATTTTTAATATTATGTTCTCATAAAAAACAAGATTAATTTGATTAAAATAATAAAAAAAGTGAATATAATTTTAAAAAATATTAATCGATACGCGCGCGCGCGGAAGATCGAAATGAAAATTATAACTATAACAAAGTCATTTTGCAGTAAATTAATTGATCCCACGAGTATAAAGTTCATTACTAATACTCGATCGTGAATAGCGTTTTTCAAGATCGCGACGGAAAGTCGTACAATTCCATGAAAGACGATCGTTTCGTCGATATACTATCCAAGAATTGCTTGTATACTTGCATAAAAAGTTGCGTTCTCTGAACCACCTGCATTGGAACTAGTTGATTGACCTTTGTGTTTTACAATTTAGCTTGCTCTCGAGGCAATTACGTTATAGTAAAATATAAAAAGCATGAGAGTGCGTTACATCATTAAAGTTTCTACAAAAAATTTTCGTAAAAAATTCTATTGCATGGTCAAGGAATTTGTAAGCCAAATTATGACGCACGCACGCACGCACGATATATCTAAAATAACGTACACTAATTATGCTATTCCTAATAAAAAACTGAGTTGAAAAGTTATTTAGAATTTTGCAATTTTCGCAATAGTTAACAAGATATTAATTATAAAAAATCGCTGAATATTGGTTTTCAATAATTTTTTACTCAATATTATCAACTTTACAGAAAAACTGCTACAGATAAAAATTATTTATTTTCTTCTCATAAAGTTATGAGAATTTTTTCAGAATTTTTTAATACTATATTTTCTCATGTTGATAAAAATAAGAAAATACAATACTAAAAAGTTGATAAAAAAATTCTGAAAAAATTCTTAGAGTTTTATGAGAGAGAAGAAATGATTTTTGTCTGTTTTTCTGTAAAGTTGATAGTATTTGAGTAAAAAATGATTGAAAACCAATATTCAGCGATTTTTAGTAATTAATATCTTGTTAACTATTGCGAAAATTGCAAAATAGTAGAGGACTTTTCGACTCAGTTTTTTATTAGGAATAGCACTGTATGATAGTGTACGTTATTTCAGATACATCCAAACATTTTTTATAATTATATATATTATTATTTTTGCTATGCTTTTGATTATTTTATTTTTATGTTTTTTATCATGCATTGTATCAAATAATTTATAAAAAAATATCTTGTATTTATTTATACATATTTATACATATAATATTAATGAAGATAAAAAATTTATTATGTGACTATTATGACATCGAGTACGTTCCGAATGTGAATGATTGCACGATTATTCAAAATATTGATTAACAAATTTATTTATTTCATTTTTAACTTACTTCTATTGTGAAAAAGACACCGATATTTTAGAAGATCAATCGGAAACTTTTTCATTTTCAATCATTAAATCATTTAAAAGTCTCTCCCATTATATCGATATAATCCTTAACATCATTCATATACCTCCGTAGGAATTTGTGGTCTCTTTTTACATTTTTAATTAAATTTTTAATGTCTGTTTCCCTGTAAAAAAAAAAGAGAAAAATAATATTACCGAATTTTCAAATAATTATTCAAGCTATCGCTCTATAAACTTACTTTATTCTACCTAGTATACAATAACAGTTGACATCATTCGGAGTGAGTTTATCAAATCGTTTAATTTTAATTGTAACTTTTAGTATAATGTCCAACCGTTTGCTTCGAGATACGAATGAAATTCTGAAATAAATTATCACATTTTGTCAAATCAATGTATGATTGACTATACTTTAAATAATATTATGTATAATGTAAGTATAATATAATTTGGTTATTACTCGTCATTAGTAATCTCCATTAAATTTAGATCATCCAAACGTCTCAAATCAAACTTGAAATCCATCGCTAGTTTCACATCTTGTGAAATAAAATTTAACATTGGAAGGATGTCCTGATGAGTTTTATACGAACTTGTAAGTAATTCTGCGTTTATTTTCTCCAAAATTAATTTGTGAACTAACTTTATGAATACTCCTGCATCATCTATCAAAAAAAGAAATAAAAAATTAAAATATTTTAACTTTTTTTAAACTGATATTTATACAATTACCTGAAAGGCGGGAAATAATCTTGATTTCTTTAATCAAATTTTTCTCAGAGTCATTAAAATCATATGATAAAAATATCGCTATCAGTAATGAATTTGCTATGAAACCAAAAACGATCATTTTCCTGTTAATATTATTATAATATACGTTCCAAATACAATCATCCCTACAACAAAATAACGTTAGGTCTCTTTAATCTTTTTCAATAATAAAATATATTAAAAATATATATGTACCCTGCGCCACGTGTCTCTAATTTTTGCAATACTGTTACAAATGGATCTTCGATTAAAGTTCCGTTTTTAATGTCTTCGTTAATCGTGCTAACATTATGTGCTGTTACGAGTCCTTCTGTTGCACATTTGTCTTTCTGTCTCATATTTTGCTGTTTCATTTCATTATTTAAATTTATTCTATGTTTTTCGGGATTTATTTGATCTTCGATTACTACTCCTGTACCTTCGAGATGATCACTACGTTTCTTTGTTTCCTGTTTTATTTTATCCAAATATTGTCCTTGCTCTTTAATATTATTCTGCAACTTTGTGTCTTCGTTTAATTTCTTTCGAATATATTCTTTTTCGTTACGATCTTCTACTTGATCTCCAGCTATTACTTCAATTTCTTTGATAATTAATGATGTGGAATGATTAAGATCTTGTACTGTTACAGTTTTCCCATCCTTCGCATTCATTGATAGTATACTTTTTTCATTAATATTCTTTGTCGTATCATAATTTGATTTATTAAGTTGATTGTCATTAATAATTGTCTTCATCATCGCTTGGCAATCAATTTCCTGATTATTTTCAGTTTTATCCATTACAGTATTTTCGTGGCAATCTTCTGTGTGATTGTTCTCAGTATTTATTGGTTCCTCTTTTTTTCTTAAAATTGTGAAATAATCGTTTGCAGCATTTTCCCTCGAATTTATTGAACAGTTGGACAGTCCTGTCACATTATTTACTGTTAATTGATTAGAAGTAATATTTACTGGTATGTCAGTGATCGACGATTGAAATTCGTGTTGAATTTCGTGGAAAGATCTTTCTTCCTCGCTGTCTAAATGTATGAACGAAGGCGGTTTAATTGATTGTAACTCTACGAAACTATCTTCTAGATATGGCAAACTTTTTCTTGAAAAACTATATTTACTAATCTCGTCTAGACTATTCCTGAGATTTGAGTCAGATATCTGTGTATGATCTATTGTTTCCTTTACAGAATACTCATTATGTTCTTGTTCAATATCATTTAAATCATTTACATAGTTAGCGCCAGTACTAGAAAATGAATGTACATCACTTTTCTGAGAAGACTGAATTTCCATAAAAGAACTGCGAACTCGTTTTGAATATGATTTTTCATTGTCATCAGACATTCTTTTTTTACTGTTGGCATTTTCTAAGTTTGTACTTAATGAATAATCTAAATTATTTAATGGAAATTGAGTAACGGAAATGTTAGACAATTCATCGTGTCTAATATTTTTTGCTTCCACAATTTCCCTTGAAATTGTAAAATTTTCTTTTGTTACATCTTTCCTTAATTCTGTTAGATTATTATTTGTCATTAGATATTGGAACTCATCATTTTTAGAAATGATTAAATTCTCTGTTTCATTTACTTTCACATCTTGTGCAAGATGTAATGTTGATGGTACTGCAGCAGTTATTTCCATTGATATATCTTGAATTGTTTCACTTGCAACTACATCAGTTTGGTGTGATACTCTCACGGAATTTTCAGCTGGTAAGGAGATTGTTTTTGACAATGTTTGAGAAAATGATACGGACTGTGTAGTGTGAATAGTATCAGTAGTATTAAATGTTATATCATGCAAAGAGATCGGGACGACTTCGGTAAATTCCATAGATTTACATAACAATTTGGTTCCTTCATTAAAGCAGATCGAATTATTCTTATCTTTTTCTCCATGTGTATTCTCTTTAGATATTGATTTACAAATTGACTGAGTAATTTCTTTTCTTGATACCGCTGTAGTCATTTCCATAGATACATTGGGGAAAAGTATAGTTTTATCATTTTTTGATATTGATTCATCGATTTTTAAATTCGCATCATTGAAAAATTTAGTTTTATCATTTTTTTCAATTTCACATGTACTTTTGTTTGAATGAGCAATGTGTGCAGCATGAAACATTCTTTCTTGACACGAGGGAACTGGAAGAGCTTCAGTAAACTCCATAGACTTGCATAACATTAGCGTTTTTTCATTAAAGCAATCCGGTCTATTTATATCCCTTTTACTACCTGTATTTTCTTCAGATGATTTACAAATAATTCTATCAGTAATTTTTTGTTTGTTTCTTGTTGACACTATCTTGGTCATTTCCATGGATACATTATGGAAAAACGTAGTTCTATCATCTCTGGATATTGGTTCATCCACTCTACTCTCCTTATTGTAAACATTTGAAAACAATATGGTATCTGTAGGTTTTGTCATTTCCATAAGTACATCAATAAAAATCTCAGTTTTATCAGTTTGATCCTCCCTCAGATCATTTTCTTTAACTGTAATTTTATTATTGGCCTTCTTTTCATTCATTTTAGATGGTACCATAATCATTTCCATTGAAGTATCGAAAATTGTATTATTTGTAGGATATATGTCAGTATCTGTGGCATCTGTAAATGATTGTATTACAGATGTTAATACCATTGAGTCATTGGCATATCCCACATCTGGTATATGTTCAGAAATGTCTCTAGAAACATTGTCAGATTGTAAATTTGTTGGAAATATCGTATTATGAGTATTTGTAGCATTCCATTTTGTATGTTCACAGTTGTGTAATATTGTCGGAATTTGTTCGAAAATTCCTAAATTAGAAGCAACAGATTTCGCAAATATTGGTACAGCCTCAGTAATGTCCATTGATACATTATTACAATTAGTAGTACATTCCATTGATACATGATTATAATTAGTAGTATTTGTTCCTGAATTATTTATGTTTTCATTACATTCTTGTTTCTTTTGTTCTTCCATGTATAAATGTGAAGATACTAAAGATGCAGATATTGGTGCTGTTAGCTCCATAGAGAAATCTTGAACACGCGTTTTATCTAGTTCAGAGTCAACATTATTAGAATACAACTTGGAAGGACATTTCTTGGCAACATTATCTTCACGGTCCTCTTCATCAGAATCTCTATATATTATAATATTGCTTGATTTTACACTTTTAGATGTATCTATTATAATTTGTCCAAATTGAGATTCTTCATCAGGCAATTGTGTATATTCTGTATCCGAATTGTTGTATACGATATTACTTGATACCCAATCATTAGATACACAAGATTTATTTGGCACTGCAGTAAAATCTAAATTACAGTTTGTATCATTAGTTTCTTCATTGGCTCTTGCGATAGATCCTTGCGGTAGTTGATTATTAACTAAATAGATATTGTTTGGATGAAATAAACTACTTTTAGAACAAATATGTATACAGTCATTATTAGAGGCATGTAATATATTTTCTTTCATTTCACCTTCAGCATTCTGATCAATTACAAAAGATCCTTTTAAAATAGAATCGTGTTCTTCATATGTATTATCCCACACAGTACCTTGTTCAGTAGAATGACAAAATTCTCTGCACAGAATAAAATAAAGATTTGAGCAACAAATTGTAACCAAGCATACAAAACTAAGTACTTACTTGACATGTTTTTTCTCTGCAAAACTAACACGTCTCTTGATTTTTGATGCAGTTGGACTGTTTTCATTGGACGAAGAATCAAAATTTACATTTTGCAATGGTTGCCGTGGTTTACATGGTTTAAGAATCTATCAACATGGTTCTCATTAAGAATTATTAATTTTTAATAAAAATAATATACATTGTTAAAATAGATAGCTCGTTATAATTTTTCTAGCTAAAAAATTAGCTAGAAAAATTATAGTCATATGAATATGTAAAGTTACCGATGACCGTCTAGATTCACTTCTTCTAGGTTTCGATGGAACCCTGTAACACGAATAAAAATATTCCTTTTTTATAAAACTCTTTGTATCATAGAATCTTAATTTTATGTATAAAAAGAATATTTTTAATACATACATTTTATTCCCGTATGTATTACACACTTGTGTACACTGTACATATAGCTGAGAGAGAAGAAAATCCGTTAAATTTAATTCCTCCCTCCTGAAAACCGCACGTTTGTTTCGTAAACGCATTTAAATTAAGCCAAATAAAATCAAATTTCTATTACTCCGGATCTACAATAGGTGTTTTAAGCCTTAAGCCGTAAGAAATTGACGTTGATGGTACTGCAGCAGTACCATCAACATTACATCTTGGTCTGCTGAACGCAGCCAGTGTCTGCTGAGATAAGACCATTCTTCTAGATCTAAAAGTATGATCCAATTAGCGCGAAGGAAACTTCCAACAGTTGCAAAACAACCGTTCTGCTGAACGCAGCCAGTGTCTGCTGAGATAAGACCATTCTTCTAGATCTAAAAGTATGATCCAATTAGCGCGAAGGAAACTTCCAACAGTTGCAAAACAACCGTTCTGCTGAACGCAGCCAGTGTCTGCTGAGATAAGACCATTCTTCTAGATCTAAAAGTATGATCCAATTAGCGCGAAGGAAACTTCCAACAGTTGCAAAACAACCGTTCTGCTGAACGCAGCCAGTGTCTGCTGAGATAAGACCATTCTTCTAGATCTAAAAGTATGATCCAATTAGCGCGAAGGAAACTTCCAACAGTTGCAAAACAACCGTTCTGCTGAACGCAGCCATTGGCTGCGTTCAGCAGACCAAGATGTAATGTTGATGGTACTGCTGCAGTACCATCAACGTCAATTTCTTACGGCTTAAGGCTTAAAACACCTATTGTAGATCCGGGGTTAGCGTTTTCGGCCCGATCAGATTTGTACCAACCTGGGTTGGATTAATCTTTTTTATTTGTTGACGTTACACGCTCTACCAATGGAGAGCACAAAACGCCATTAATCCAAACCAGGGAATTGATTCTGTACCTTGAAACGAGGTGAAAATTACAAAAGTGAGCAAATTTACTAGAATACTGATAATTTCATTGGTCAACACCTAGTAAATTTGCTCACTTTTGTCATTTTCATCTTGTTTGAAGATACAGAATCGACCCCCAGGTTGGTGCAAACCCGGCCGGGCCGAAAACGCTATATGTTACAAAAATTACGAATTTGAAATAAAAATTGTTAGCTTTTTCCATTGCGTTCATTAAAGAGAACTTTTCAGCAAGGACACACTCAGACACTGTGTAAAGCCGGAATCAGACAACGCATTGAAGATTGAGATTGAAGATTGAAGATTGAAATTTGATCAATGAGGACAAAGGAATTTTAGCTCCTATTATTTTGATCGGTTAAATTTTAATCTTTGAATCTTCAATCTCAATCTTCAATGCGTTGTCTGATTCCGGCTTTACACAGTGTCTGAGTGTGTCCTTGCTGAAAAGCACCCAATAATTGATACAAGAGTCATTCTATCCTTGTTCGATAATCAGTAAGAAACAAAGACAGATTGGCTGCGTTCAACAGAGAAAACAAAAATTAATCAGTTAGCGCTTAGTGATTCTTCAATATAATTGGTTTCTACACTTAGATCCAGTGAAGAATTAAAGGCAAGAACGAATCATATTCAAGAATTTTACAAAAGCTGCTTTTTCTGCTGAACACAGCCAATGGGCGAGTTCAAGATGACAAAGTGGCTAGACATGTTTATCGACCGATTGAATATGATTGGTTAAATCTATAAGAAACAACCAATTAGGGTTGGTTTATAATAGGCCGTAATCTGTTAACTTTTTTCGTAATCTGTAAGAACGCGTTCACATCTTGACGGAAAAGCAGAAAGCGGAAAAGTAGTGGCCAATCACAACTCGCGCTGGTAGTAAATAGTACAAAAAATCGAAATTGTGTCGACTACTAACGCGAGTTCTGATTGGCTGCTGCTTTTCCGTCAAGGTGTGAACGCGCCCTAAAGGTACAATTTCATGCAGCGAAGCTTCACTGGCGAAGACTCCCCACTAATAGCATGTTCTATTTATTGACTCGACCTGACTCCAAGTCAATGATCTGTTCTGTTTAATTGCAAAAGAAGAGCTAAACTGTGCAAGAAATGCAGCTAAAAAGAACAGATCGTTGACTCGGAGTCGAGTAGAGTCAGTAAATCGAATACGCTATAAGCGTAGTTGTATTGTAAAAATTTACCAATCACAAATGGATATTTTCTTCGTATTGAAGTGTGATTGGTCAATTCTTACAAGTGCAGTCAGAGCCTAAAAGGTTGCAACACTTTTTTCAAAATGGGTTTTGGAACGCAGTTTATTCACCGAACGATTGGTTCTTATTTGTTGATCCATGAATAAGAACCAATCGCTTGTTGAGCAAGCTGCATTCCAAAATCAATCGAAAAAAAAATGTTGCAACTTTTTAGGCTCATGGACCTATAATGTATAGACTGCGCACGGCTATAATATATGCCGGGTTTTCGTGAAGCCAGCAGAACTGAGAGAGATAGAGAGAATTGTACCATTTCTGCCCTCTATATATGCGCGCAACGCGTGCGTCGTAATAAAATGGAAGAAGATGGGTGGGACCCGTTTGACCACGTTGCGATTGACCACCAG